TTATGTGCCAAATGAAACATATATGTGAGAGCTCAAGTAATTGCTATGGAAAACGCTGGCTAATATTTGGATCACAGAGATGAAATTGCAGTGTAGAATTGTACTAAATAGAGAAGGCAGGGAAACAGATCGTGCCATGTCAAAGTCTTCTTCTGAGATTACCATAAGGAACCCATGTGTGCTCCAGATAGCTTTACTAGGAAGAAGTTAGCAGTCATGTTGTTTGCCTACCGCTCTCAGAAAATGTCTAAACTACATTGTTATTTTGAATGACCTGTGTTAAGAAAGATATTCAAGCACTGCCACATGACTGCCAAAGAAAACTTCCCCATGCATGCACAAAACAAGAAAATCATTGGAGTTACCCTGAAAACACAGTGTGGTTTCAGTGGGGGCATGAATATAGTAAACAGGTTTATTTTGCAGGATGGCTTTCATGATGGAGGTGGTGGAGTGCCAGTGGTAAAACTGCAGGGCCTGAGAGATAAAGTTTGGATGGGAGACTATGTTGTTTAAGAGATGCCTGATCTGACTCTGTGGTCAGAATGGTCACAGTACCTGCTAAAATCAGCCCATACTTCCAGCCAAATACATGTCATAGGGAAGGATGCCTCGAGATGTTGGTGGCAATTAAATTCTCCTGTAGGGGAAAATAAAGATTTAGTGTATTAAGCAACTTAACACATGACCCTTGGGCCAAACATGCGTGGCCTACCCCCCTTTTCTGCAGGAGAAGACGAAGCTATGCTGGGCTGCAAATCCTGTTGAATCAGCTGAAATCTTTCTACCTTACTTTATCTCTAGAGACCTGACTCAGAAAGTCAGTTCTTGACATTAGTTGTGAAGTTTATGGGAGCTCAGTATAAACATCTGTGAGAGCAAACCGCAGGAAAAAGTAAGTCTGCACTATCCTCTTCCATCTGTGTTAAATATGGTGGCAGAAGACCTGCAAGACAGATGCCAGCTACTGAGTATGTGGCATGTCGCTGCTTTGTACAATGATGGACTTTGTACAATGCAGGACTTCAGGGTCCCCATCTCCACCTCTCAAAAGTAAGTAACAGATCTGTGAGTAGACAAAAATAGAAGCACACAAAAAAGTTAGCAGGAGTCTCTTTTGAATTGCAGTGAATGTCTCAGGATTGCATTCATGGCTTTTAATCAAAACCTGATAGTTTTCTGAAAGGCTACCCTTATTTACACTTTCTGAAATTGACAGCAATTTTGGAACTGAAGCACTAAATATTATATATAATTATATTCATATTTCTTGTTTCAAAAAGTTCTTAAAACACAACCCTACAGCAAAGCAAGCCAAGGCTGTGGAAAATATTTTAATGATACTGGCTGAGAAACGCTCCCTATGAAGAGAATTAAAGGAACTTCCCTATTAAATAGCTGGAGATACAAATTCATCCCATTACTAGTGCTGTAGGAAATTACCTGAAATACCAATATATTTCTGATATTTATTTAGAATTTTACATCGTTTACATTCAAAGGCACATGTGAAGCATGCCATTGTCAAATAAAATAATTTAGGAGTTTGCAGCCTCTAGGGCTGGAAGCCAGGATATGATGCACTCATTGCAAGCCCTACAAGAACTGACCCTGTAGCATCCATTAAACTGAAAGTCACACCCAAAAACTTAAACTGCCTAAAGCACCATTAAGGGGACTACCAGAACCTAATTCTGAAACTGACATCCAAAGCAGTCCCTGGCCAATAGCTGCCCTATTAGGCTGTCCTCCTGTCTTCCCTCTCTGACTGACTTGGTCAGAGACATGCCTGAGCTTTTCCACTTAATTCTTGGCTCCTGCTTTAATCTTATTGGGACCAAAACCTAGCAAAAGCGGTGCATATGCCTCTTCTGGAGTCCAACTCACACAGTGTGGCAACAGCACTGAGCATTGAGCTTTTATGTGTTAACCCAGGTGGATTTTTCTGAGGTTCAGATGTTGTGTTTTTTTTTTATCTAATGTCTACTTAACATAAAATGCATATAGAGTGGTAGGAGAAAACCTCCCCTTCTGTGGGAATTCCCTTATTGCTGAATTACAGATTCAGACTCTTATGATCTGTCTTCTTCTAAGAAATGAATCATTCCTTTTCTTGCAGAGTTGCTCAGTTTCTGGGAGCTGAGTGGATGGTAACTTCTATTAAAATGAGAATTGTTTAAAGGGAAAAGTGTGATGAAGAGTTTCTTCATGACAAAAAGGTACACCTCAAGAAAACACACCAGCTTGCCTTGATCACAGATCAATGCTGCTGCAGTAATGTGCTACTGGGTCTGTAAGACTTTGGTTGAGAGTACTTACACACAAAATACAAAGTTTCTGGCTGATGTTATGAAATTACTATGCCAGAAATCTTCTTGAAATGGAATCCAGCCTCTTTTGTCAAGTCTTGTCATGAGTATTCCAGACAAGGAGGGGTTACTAAACCTTGTCAATTATTGTTCCAAAAGTTGCAGAGTACAGTAATGGGGTGGATCTAATCTAGCTGTGTGAAGCTCAGGTTTGGAAAGTGGAAAATCCCCAAAGATTTAAAAAGGGAAATTGCAAGTTGGCTCTTTAAAGTCACAGAACAAGAGATGCTGACAGGATTAAGAGAAGTGTAAGAAGGGGTTCTAGGGCACCCTTTTTAAAGCTTGTCTAGAGGAATAGATCCTGAGGGATTTGGAGGGTGAAGAACACAGCATCAGACTGACCTGTGCCCATGTGTGCAAAGGAGAACAAAGAGGTGAAAATTCCTTCCTGAAATGTTTTACTTCAGTGGCAGAGGTATACCCTGGTGTGAGCATAATGCATTCATACTGCAGGCTGGCTTGTGGCTTATACTGAGGTATAGCTACTCTGCAAAGCAACCTGCTGGCAACTAATTGCCACATACAGAATATTTGTGTGTGCCAGTCCTAAGTCCCTGGGTAACCCCTGTTACCTGCTTAGCCTGCAATGAGAGAGGTGCTGAGGGAACCCTGCATGGAGATTTTTATGTGACAGCAAGAGGAGGTGCTTCCTTATTTCTTCTTGGTTGTAAGGCATGAAAAGCCAGACTGTCAATGGGTTTAAGGCAGACCACCCAGAGTGCATGGATATCTCGGGTTGCCTGCATGGGTGTCCACAAAATGACCATCTCTGCATTGTGGTAATCTGGGTGACAGCTTTGCTTCATCCCTGCAAGCATATTTTGTCCTACTACATGCACAAAACGATAGTCCCATGAACCATAATGTTGACCCTGCCAAAGACAATGTGGTTGGCAAGGTTAATGTTTTAAGATAAAGAATGTTTCCACAGGAAAATCCTCAAGGGGTAGAGAAAGGAAGATAATTCTTGTGAGCTTTAAATCTATTGTCCATAACAGAAGCCTGAAGGAAATGTGAGAGCAGAATAACATCGCATATTCTTTTTCTGGTCTATGAAAATATGGGATATCTGAAAAATAAAGTTCCTTGTAAGAAATCAAAACAAATGACATTCCATCACACTAAAATGGTTTGGGGTCTCAGTGTGAATGTATGCATATGTGTGCCTGCTTGTTTTGAAGTAAAACTCTCAGAAAAACAACCCTTACACTTTTTAATCAGCCTATCTGACTGACATTCTAAAACTGACTTCATTTTTCTCATGGGAAAGGAAAACAGGAACCTTCTCGCTTTAGTTAGATATTTTCCCTCAAAATAAAAAGCAACTATATCAAGGGCAGCTTTAGTATGTGGAAGCAAGTACAACTCCCAGGGCAAAAATCCCTAGATACAAGTTCAGAAGTTAAGCATTAAATGTTACTGACTATATCCTCTCCCACTGCAATGTTGGTTTATTTTCTAAAGAAAGTATACCACTGGCATTCATAGAATCCACTACATTTTGAGATGTATAAAGGATTAAGATATTATAATAGTAAGATATTATAATCATTATTTGGAATGACTGAAAAAAGAGTGTTAATTGGAGTTAAAAAAACACATTAGTGACAACAATCTATAGAGAAGAAAGAAGCACTAGCAGATTATAGGTCTGACTTTGCAAAGGCATGGGAGTATCCTGTAGGGTTTTTTTTAGGTTGGTTTATTTTTTGGCACACCTTTTGAATGTTAATGTTCTGCTGAAGATGGTTTCAGACAGGCTGCAAGGCGACTGCTGTACTCAGCCAAGCAGAATCCGTTGAAGTGTTGCCGAGGCAGAACTGAAATTATAGCCTCACTTTAAAAAGCAATAGTATTGTCAGCTAATTACTTCTAACACACAAATAGTATTCTCAGTCGAGTTTGTGGTTTTTCATGTAAAATTCTAAGCCTTCAAACAGCAGCTTTTGAACTTGGGTATTCGCTAGTTTCTTGGCTGTCCCTGATCCTTTATGCTTAGAAATACAAGAAAGGTGCAGAAGAATGGAAACTAAAGATACTTGTAACAACCTGTAACTGCTGCAGTGGGAAATGGGTCAAGTTTCCCCTCTACTAGATGAAGGTATTTGTTTCACAGAAATTGATTGTCTAATTTTCTTAATTTATTTAATAAAGCTATAATCTTTATATTGCATATACCTGGCTAATATTCTCTATTATGTCCTCCATACCAGGTCAGGAATACTGACATTAGACTTCAAAATAACAATAATTAAATTACTATATACTAACTATATTGTTATGTATTCCCTATTTACTTTCTGAAAAGTATATTACAGTTCATCTTTTACTGATGTCAGGCTAGTATAAAATCCATTTCTTGTCATTTTGAGCTGGAAATATTTCTTTTGGTAAGGATTTATGATTGTTATGGTGACAATTTTTCACCTTGCTGATTCATGTAGGATGCAGCCCATGAGGATATTAGCCATGTTATTGGCTTTACAAGCTTTAGCATTTTTGGCTAGCCTATTACTGCTATACCTTTAAAATATTCACTGTGGAGAAGGGTTGCATTACTGTCACCTCTGTATCTGTACACCCTCTTTTTGAAAGAAGAATGTATACTGAGGAAGGGGAACAGTCTTGGGGGCATATTTAAGACCATTGCACAGATCCCTGAATGGTGTAAATATATTGATGTTTCACAGATTCATGCCTTCAGTAACTGCTGAAAAGCTGTCAATTACTCTAGAAAATGTAGTGAGTAATTCAAGTTTTTAGAATAACTTTGACCTTTTTTTGTATAAATCATCCTTACACAGCTTATGTAGAGGAATTAAAAATATTATTTGTGTACATTAACACATTAAAGGTGAGCCTGCATTTTAAACATTCCATGGTGCATTAAGTAAAAGTGATATGCATGGTATTAGAGGGGGTCTATGGAAAAAAATAACAGGTCCCTTTCTAGCATTTTTTATTGCTAAAATTAACCCCATCAACTTGCTTTAGCAATATTAACTACTGAATAGTGCACCACGGGGCTCTTTGCACACAAAGAACTGTCCTTAAAAGCCGTTGAGAGATGATGAAGATAAGTGCCTGCAGGGAAAGGGCAATGGCATCTTGGTATCAAATCTGTAAGAAAAAAAGATGAAGTATAGGTGAAAAGGGCATTGCTGATACATCCAATATATACAGTTGGAAAGAGACTCTGGTGCAGCAAGCAACAGTACAGGATACAGTATGAAGGAACCTAAGAAGCATTTCGGTACAAAAGAAGTGCACGTGTAATTCAATCTGCTAGCCTGGTACTTTTTGTAATCAAATTTTGTTTATTTAAGGTAGGTTTAAAATGTCAATCACAGCAACTGAGCTGTGAGTGCATGGAAATATCTTTTCTCAAATATTTTGTGTGCAGATGTTTGAGCCTGAAGAAACTTGCCGTGTGTTTTTGTAGCTAAGGAAGTGAGTAATCACTGAAACTAGTATGGGTGGTATAGGAAAATCATGCACATGGTCTTGGCACAGCTGTCTGCTTGCTACATTCCATGAGATATTTCATAATGGAAAACCAATTGCTCCACTAATATAGGATACCTGCATATCAGGCATATGGGGTGAAGCACCCAGTTAAGTCACATGACCTTACAGATCAGGCCAGTGAATCCTGAGTGAACAAGAAGGGCAAAAGAAAATCTCTGGGTATTGACTTAAAAGAGAGATAAAAATACCTTGTTTAATCTCTTTAAATGTCTTGATCTTTAATGTCTTGCTGTTTGTTGCTTAACTGTAATTTTTATCAAGCAAATTTTGCAGGACCAAAGGTGTAAGTAGGAAAGATGGTGATTAAGTCGACAGAACAGCATAGCTTCCTGCAGTAGCAGGAAACTTGGCCTTGTGTCTAGTTATTCAGGCTGCAGGCCCCTGTGACTCAAAGGGTTTTCTGCTAGTTAAATTACTCCTTTGACCTTGCTTGTTTCAGAGGCTTTTCTATTTGTTTTATGTGATTTACATGGAACAGAGTGAATGATTTGTCAAGAAATAGCAATAAACAGATTCTGTCATTCTGTATGTTGTTTTGATTGTTAATATTTTTAGTTAAAACATTTGCTTTGAATCCATGTGCACATAGATTGTGGATGTCACAGTTCAGCCTGGATGTCATCAGTGGTTTCTTGAATTACCAGTTCCTCAGTATTTTTAAAGACAAAGGGCCAATAATTCTAATCTGAATATATCTCCAACTGTTTTGGAACAATTTACGGCAACTGAAGGTCAGCTCCAGAGCTGCTCTGTGTCTCAGAGTACTGCAGCTGCAGGGATGGGATGATATGCAAGTTTATGAGCGGGTAGAATACAGAACCTGGCAAAATGGGTAGAAGTAAGATTCTATTCAGCAAACTGGTATATGGTTTCCTACAGTCTCTTTGGCTGTGACTACTCACCAACATGCAAATCTTTTATAGTAAGAACATAAACATATGGGTATTGATGCAAAATGCAATTTATGTACATGGTTATAAAAAGGGAGCAGTTTAAACAGCAGAACAAAACCACGTTTAATTGTAAATATGTTGTTCCTAGAGGTACAGATCTTAAAGCCAGTCCTATTGTTCTCAAAGTCAGAAGCTTTAAACTGTGAGCCCTGAGGAAATCCTTTTAATGTGCAACAATTTTCAATTAAAGTCAAATTTGAAACAAAAGAAATGCTAAAATAACTGAAAAAACAGTTAAAGGATCTTTGAATAAGCTTAACTATTCAGAGTCCTGTGAATCTGTATCTTTCAGATGAATGTGCATATAGCTCTATCAACTAATTAATCCAGTGACATTTTAACTTCAAATAGTGGCTTGGCCAGAAAAGTTATGTTCTGGTGGCATTTGACCAGGCCCTGTGGTCATAGTTCAGCTGCAGGGCTGCAGGTGAATACCTGAAACTTTGTGAAGGCTGTAAAGGTTTAGGATATGCCAAAGACTAACCTGTCAATTTAACACCATTAATGATATACAAGTTTTACTCTGTTTCATTTCTGTATAAATTTACTACCTTAGACTGTAAGCACCACCTCAAGGAGAGCTATAATTGAGCTATCTAATGGATGTGTGCACACTAGCAAGGAGAAATTATATTAACAACCTGATGTAGATGTAGTGATGTGCAACTGTTTACTCATTAAACAAAGGATTAAACACATCTGCAAGGAATCCATTACAGAAAGTAACTGAAGGGGGCACATCTGCCTTCAACAACAACAAAAACAAACAAACAAAAAATCAGGGTTAGACATTTAAGTGAAGGATAACCTGTTTTTTCTGTCAGTTATGATTTTACCTGAGATGTGAAATAAAAAAGAAAGTAGCAGGTCTGCATCTACAGGAATCTTGATTACATCAATGAATTTTTAAACAAGCTTGAGGCGCTTGCACCCCTGCTATAACTTGCTCAGCATTTAGTGATTGGAACAAGCTGAAAAGAATCACAGTCAGGTTGTGTTGTTATTATTACTAGTATCTGCTTTCTACCACTTCCCTTGTTACAATCTGTATTTTTTATTTATTTGTTTTGGCTGCATGGATGCTTTTGTGCTGTAATGGGTATATTTATAGTGTGCATCTCACTCATGCTATTGTCTTGGCCTCTTGGGATCTGCATTAGAGCTGTAGCAGAACTCTCCCTCATGCCATGGGGAAGAGCCTTTCTGCCTCTCTCTGCAGCTCCTCAACACCCTTTTCCAGGCTCCTGTCCTCCCTCTCAGCCTGCTATAACTACCATCAGGGCAGGATGGAGCTCACGGAACGATGGAGGAACTCTTGCAAGGTGTGCACTGGTTCTCATACAAGAAAATACAGTTTGCCATGTACAGTGTGCATGGTACAGGGAATGTTTCCAGTTGGAAAGAAACTCTCATGCTTAGTGCCAGGGCAGGTCTGCTGACAAAATAGAAAATGATGGGCAGGGAGAAAGATATGGGACCCGTGGACTCCCTTATACCAATTGCTCCAGGTGAATGACCAGAAGCCAGGAGTGTGGCCAAGATGCTTCCAAGCCTTATTACTTCTGTGTGTAGATATGCCCAACTAATGTCTTTAGCTAGTTAACTTCTTCTTTCAAGTACTCATGTGCTTATATCAGTGGGGATATTTAAACATAATTTTCTCATAAAAGAAGTGGTTAATAAGCTCATCCATTGTCAAAATCAAGTTTCTTCAAAACTGTGTACATAATACTTTGTCTGTTCTAAGTTTGGCATTTAAAACCAATGTATCAAAAGTTCATCTTTCCCGACATTCACAGATTTTCCATCTTTTTCATTTTCTCCCATGGTTGCTAACTGTATTCAGGTAATGCCTAGAAAAATTTCAGGAAAACCTTTCCTAAAACACTCTGATCTGTGGAAGCAAGCATAATTATTGTATTGTGTAATTACAGTTTTAGGAAAGACTAAAGTTACATGTGTATAATATGTGTTTAGCTGAGGACATATGCTTAAACATTAAAAACTATGACATAATGTATGTACAGAAAAGCTTTCCAAAATCAGAATGCCAAAGGTCTTTTAGAATGGGACACCATCACCTTTGGCCTCCACTGCAGCATCAGTGCCACAGTGGTACACTCAGTTTATATATTTCTTCTTTTTTATAATCAGATTATTTATTGCCAGAATTCATTATTTCCTTCACCAGATATTACTCCCTCCCCACCCCCAAATATATGTTGGCTTTATTAAACCAGTTGTTCCTAAGTTTTAGCTCTCTCTGTTACAATCCTCTGCATGACTTTTTTATCAGCTGGTAGCTGAGACCCTTTTTCAAAAGACAAAGATAACAGTTTTGATCTTGCTATCTTTTCCATCATAAATTACACCAGGCAATAACAGCCACCCAATTCCAATTTTTTGTTGCTTTAATACTTTGTCTATTTTGTTTAAGGTACAGTTTTTAGGATAATCCTAGAAATATCCCAGTATTGTCATGTTTTCTTAATCTACTTACACCTAATTACTGATCCCAGTCCAGTGATGGAATCAGTCTAATGATTCCATCTATAAAATGATATGAAGCATATATGATATGAAGGCTATAATGATGTGAAGTTTTTTTCTGTGTGTGCTACATACTGCATTGTGTTCTTCTATTTCTTTTTCTTCCTCTTTCCATTAACTCAACATGTTCAGCCAATACAGTGTTGTCTTTCAACCAGTTTTGAAGCCTTTCTTTTCCTAAGAACACTTCACAGGTAATTTCAGTGGTGTTGATGACCATGCTTAAGCTGTGGCATCCAGCTTCCCTCCTGCTGGAAGGAAAATCCAGTGTGCAAAGGAGGAGGAAATAATGGTAGACAGACACTCAGATAGACAGCCAAGGGAGCAGATGTGCCAGGCAGGAAGTAGCACAGCATATATACTGCTGTCTAGGAACAAATCCCAAATCCTGGCATTTCTCTTGATGTGGCAGAGCTGCTAACATAAAAAACATTTTCTCCTAACTGTGTTTGTAAGCCTGAATCTGATTTTACATTTGCCCTTGAGATAAATTTCTACCTGACTTACTTCAAGCTGCCTTTCTAAATCTCTGAAACACAAATTATTTATGGCTTTTCTTCATTAGTGCTTCAATGTTTTCAGGCATTGAATGATTGCTGCTTTCTATTGTGGGGACACACACATTTTGTTGGCTTGCAGTGGATCCTGGTCCATCCCACCTCAAAACGTTTTTGGTCATTGTGTAAAACCATAACTACATGTGTTTTTCAGACCCCTCTCACCCATCTTAGAGTAGCATCAACTACATCTCACCTGTCCTGCAGCAAGGCTTGACATTTGTCTTTTCTCTGTGCTATCCACTGTGGCTAAACCCCTCATTTTTCCCCTTGCAGGAAACAAACGTTCTGCTCCAGTCTAAATTACATGGTAGGTTAGAGAGAGGTTACTGCCAGCTCTGGTTGGGCAACTTGTAAGATTTGTGGCTGGATTCTGTACTGCCAACAGAACATTGCAGAATTTCTAACTTGTCTCAAATATGACACAGAGGCAAACAGACCCTGCTGTCAAGTTCTTTTCATCTAATTTTTCTCCATTATGAGAAAGTTGTATTGAAGTAAATAAAAAAAAAGGGCTATTTGCAGTTAACATTGCTTCCCCTTTGCCCTACAGATAGCAGAGTACATCTAAATGGCTTCTACTCTGACCTCAGCAAAATGATGATGAAAAGAAGGCAACTGTGGGATTATTCATTTCACCTTCTCTTGATGACGGATGGAGAGGTATTCACTGCCACTTTTGTGCCATCTGGGAACATGACACCAAATTCCAGCATGACCCTGGAACAGAAAACAACGTTTGCCTTTGAGATTTTATTATTTATATTCTTGGGAATCATTGCTCATTGCTTCCGAATTCTCCTTGACCCTTACAGGAGTATGCCAACCTCAACCTGGGCTGAGGGACTTGATGGGCTGGAGAAAGGCCAGTTTGACTATGCTCTTGCCTAGAGACTTAGAAGGCTTATTTATCACTCTGATTAAAAAAAAAAATAAAAAAATCCAGGAATGTCTGTATTTTTTTTTCCTGGTTTGTAGTTTTTAAATATTACAGGACTTGCAACATACAAATGCGCACATAATGAATTTTATTTTAATTAAATACCAAAGCAAATTAAATTTTTGGATCTTCTCCCTGGGAAAAAGATGAAGGTTGCAGTAGCAGAACTTTTCTTCAGAATTCATTGGAACAATATGTAGTGTAAGACACTAGAGCACATCTTCTCTTTCATAGCCTTTTTACCATTAACACGAGTCTGTGGAGGGATGTGTCTTACAAAGGATGTAAGAATGCATTTTTATGATCTGAATGTAGTAAATTAGCTTTTCAAGCTCCACAAGACTCTTCTTACTCTATCTCCTTTGCTCTAAAAACAAATGAGGAAGTTTCTCATACCATAAGATTGAAAGAGCTGGAGAACTTCAGGAGAAAGAAATTCCTCCATGTTTTCCCAGATATTCAGTTAAGATGATCTTTCATAGCATTAACAAGTGCTTAAATACTGACAAATAACTGACTGTAATCTTTGTTGGAAATAAAATATGTAATGATTTTGGCTTTTCTTTGTCTTTTTGTGCTAAAACTAATTTCTATTAAGATAGGCTTTTGCATTGGTCTTACAACAGCTTCTGCAAACAGATTTCAGTCTTGCATGTGTTTCACACCCTGCATTTCCTTTGAAGGTCCCTTCAAACCCAAATTATTCTATGATTCTATGATGCTATGATTTCCAGCATTCACTCAGTCTATTTACTTGGTGTGTAGGTTACACTGCACTGTTTTTTTTTTGTAATTGGCTCACTGAAACGTTGGTGCTAAGAATCAATAAATAGCCATCACCTTCTTTATCTATGTCTTTGAGTTTATCTGTACAATGAAAATCCATACCTAGAAGTCAATGCAAACAAAAACCTACCTACGTGATCGATCAAGGAAAGAAAGATTTTAAAGATTACACAAAACTTGGTAGAACTGCTTAGTGTCCAAGTGCATGCTTGCACGCATTGTTTAGCAGCATTGAAATATTATAGTGGTAAGAACATTTGATGTACTGCCAGGAGGGAGAAGACTACGCTCCTGAACAGAGAAGAGTCTTGAAAAAAGTCTAGCGCTGCCAGGCTTCTTAAACATCGCATGGAGTGAGGAAGGGAAGGTGTATGCTGCCTGTTTTCAGATAAGGCTTTAGATTTAGCTGTTTTACTTTATGGCAAGCAGTTGGGAAGTTTTCCTTTGTGCTTTGACTTGCAGCCTGTTAGTGGAGAAACAAAGCCAGCCCACAGCTAGTACAGCTGGGGCTGTGCTGACTCATTTGAGCTGAAGCTCTGACTCTAGCTGTGACAGTCAGAGCTGTTTGTTTCCCTTTTCTGCTTGTCCTGTCCACTGGTTGAAGGTTGCAGCTATTTGTAGCAGAGGCAGTGGAAGGAGGGGTGGCGCTGCACACTGGTTATCACAGTTCACAGGAGGGCAGCCATACCCCTGAACACAGCTCACTGGCCAGGTCACAGAATGAAACTGGCTGTGCTCTCACTGCTGAAATACAAGTGCAGCTTGTTCCAGGGGTTGTAACCTTTGAGGTAGACTGGGCAGAAGGGAACAGGATCGCAGCTGTGATCTCTAGAAGCCATGAGGTATCAGCTTTAGCTACTTATCTACAGTCTACAGCACCTAGATCAAAGCAAAATCAAACTTTCAGATGACTTCCCAAAGGTAACGACAGGTTCCTATTGCACCAGTGGTCTTTAAATGTGCTGCCAGTATTTATGAAGCAGCAGTAACTTCATTTCTTTGTATGACCTGGGAAGGATGCTGGAGAGGGACTATTCATCAGGCACTGTAGCAATAGGACAAGGGGCAATGGGTTTAAACTGAAACAGGGGAAGTTCAGGTTAGGTATAAGGTAGAAGTTCTTTACTGTGAGGGTGGTGCGGTACTGGAATGGGTTGCCCACAGAAGTGGTAAATTCTCCATCCATGGCAGTGTTCAGGGCCAGGTCGGAGAGAGCCTTGGGTGACATGGTGTAGTGTGAGGTGTCCCTGCCCGTGACAGGGGGGGTTGGAACTAGATAATCTTAAGGTCCTTTACAACCCTAAGCGCTCTATGATCCTGTAAGAATTTGAATATGAGGCCACACTGAAAGAGTATGTATTCTATGATTCTGTGATTCTAATATTTCTCTCTTGTGTCAGGGTCTGTTGAAGACTCCATAAATTTTATTTTCTAGTAAAAGGCTTTCCTCCCTAATTGCACCCAAAGAGGGAGATGATGACTTTGATCAAGGGAATGTAGTACAGTGTTCAAGTGAAGCAATTTGATTCTTGTGTGGAGTTTGGAAGTTGCTAACTGAGGACTATTTTGGATGCTTAGCCAGCCAGCATCGCTGGTATGTTTGGAAGCATTCCAGGAAGATATTTTTGTAAACCACTGGGGTAAGTCAGTCTATTAAGGGGAATTTAATACTGCTGGGCAGTCACTTTAAGTCAGCCTATCTGTGGATATTGCTAAATTGACTATAGCAAAGATAGGAAGTTCACACCAGTTTCCCCCGGCAGTAGTCTTTTTCCTTTGCTCTTTCAAAGGCTAACAGATGATTTCTAAAGACATGCTGGTGATTCAGTTTCAAGATAGCTCACTTGTCATTTGCTTGGAGACCAGACCAGACTTCAAATGGAAAGACTATTATTCCAATCCACAATGTAGCTTCTGGCATATCACTGTGCCTCAGAAAAACATGTATCGACTGTGGAATGAACTGAAATATTAATGAGCCTGGAAAGGGAGGGTCTGTGTGCTAATGCAGATCTGCTAAGGCAGCTCTGCAGCTGTGTATCACTCTAGTATAGGCTTTTATATATCAGTTTCTGTAGAAAATCCTGTGCAATCTTTAAAAAATGCTTTTAAAAGAATATTTCTTGATACATTTCAAACAAATACACTCTTATATACTGCACTGAAAGAAGGAATATGTGTATTTTTTTTAATAAATACATTTATGTTAGTTTGTTTAATCTAGCTACAAGGAGTTTAAGTCAAAGGGCTACTGGGGAGAGATAAAGCCAAATAAGGACAGAGATAAGACTCTGTATTGGTAAACACCAGGGACTAAAGCTGTTTTACTCCACTGGGGATTTCAAGACTTTTTCATCTTGGACATGACCCTTAAATGAAGTGCTGACCTAACAGCATAGAGCTGAGCTGGGAATCTGTTCTCAGCAACATCTGGGGTGCATGTGTGCAAGAACAGCCCCAGTGCTGCTTCTCCACTGCAATCAGAGGTTTGTGTACAACTTGTGCAGACAAGAACTATCTTTAAATTAGCTCAGGTGTCAGGAATGATACAGCCACAGAAATCCACAGTTCAGTGCACGTTGCAAGAGCCATGTAGGGGTTACTGCTGGATATGTACACACACGCTGCACCTCCAGTGAAATTTATTTGTCATTGCCATGCAAATAGCAGGATCTGGGCTCTCTTTTAAAGGCAGGTGAAGTTGGGATCCAGCAGTACAGCTGTGCTAACTGAGAGAGAAAAAGAACCACCAACCAACTGATGCAGTTGGCAGCAAACTTCTCCCTTGCCAGAGATGGGGTTTATGCAGTTGAATGGAGTTTAAAGTTTCCAAGAGGAGGATTTTTTGTGTACATAAGAGGAAGTGTAAATAGAAACTCATCTTGGTTTTACTTTTTTTTTTTTATTTCCTGCCTGCTATGTATTCTGAGCAAATGTGTAATGCTTGATTTTGAGAGAGCTGTCTGTGGAGCATAGCATAGTCAGCTTTTACCACAAATGTCCCCAGAAAGCCTGGAGGTATCTGATGTGTGTTTCCATGGCCTTGTGAGTCTAATAAGATTGTTACACAGGGGGTTTGCAGGTTTGCAGCTCTACATAGAGATACTAGGCCTACATGTCTCAGATGTGGTCTCTTAGGACACTTGCAAGTCTAGCGTAGGTTTTGCAACTCTGTTCTGATCTGGAGACTATTTGGTAGGAATTTATACTCCATTTGGTTCAAAGGTCAACAAACTTGCCTATGTCAGTGACCATTGAGAAGCAGCCTGAAAACCTCCAAAACTGCACAAAAGAAACTCAAAACCCTTAATCTACAGCATGACTGGGTCTGCAGCCATGACTGGTATTTTCTCCAACATAAAATATTTTGTTTTTTTTTTTAATCCTGGTTTATTGAAATGTGATTAGTCTGTAAAACATGGCAAGTGTCTAATCATACTGATGTAATTTGTGTGAAGATAAAGCTGTTGATTTCCCACATATTGCATCCTGTTTTCAGTGCTTCTGGAGTTCTGCAGCAAAGTTTGGGACTGTTTTTTTTTTATACATTTGGTATCATTTCTGCAGCATTGATATGTGAGGCTTTCATGGCTCTTCTTTTCTCAGGATCACAATAAAAGCAGCTGACACTATAGTAATTTTTCTTTTTTCCCTCTTGGCATGCCAACTAATCAATCCCCATCATGCATTGGGTACATTGTTAACTTCATGAGAAAGAGCAGCGAAGAGTGAAAGGTCATTTTGGAGGCAGAGACAAAGGAGATTTCATCTCTGAAGTTATCAGTGCTACGGTAGGATCTGTGAAGCATAGGTTTCTGTCCTGTGTTGAGGTCACTGTACTAGTTTACACAGGAGTAGAAAATGCATCCTTCACTTCTGATATAATTTTATGATATAGTAAGTCCTATCACACTTACTTCTACTTTGTATAAATGCTGTTTTGTTGTAGGAGAGCTGGTGGTGAGGCAGATGCACCCAACCTGCTATTTAGACCAGTGCAAGTTCTCCAAGGGAACTGGGGGATTTGGTGCAGTGCTGCTATCCCACCAACTTCATAACCAGTGCTTGGACTAGAATGTACTTCTGTCTTACTGATTTGATTTTCAGAGAGATTCTCTACTTTAATCTGTGTTGCTTTAAACTCTTAACTTGCCTTTTAGAATTGGTGTTACAGTTTTGAATACAGAAAAGTGATACTCAGAATTACACAATGAAGCCATGGCAAAAAAAAAAAACAAAACTAACCAAACCAAACTAATATTTTTCACTACTTCTTCAATATGAGGAAAAAACAACAAAGGCCAGAGTCAGAACATCTAGGGGATTACATCTTAAACTATGTTTAATAAGCCCCAGCCTGAGACAGGAGAAAGACTCAGACATAATGACACTCCTTATCTTTATAGTTTCATAGCTAATGCTGGTAATAACTTCAGACTCTAGTGTAAATCAAAGCAGACCTAAAGGACTTTGATCATGTAACATTAGCCACAGTAACCTTACAACTGAAAAAGTAAGTGTATTTATGAAGTTTTTGTCGTTGGAGGGTCACCTTCTTAAGAGCTGA